AGTGTACCATATTCTGACCACGCCCATCCCTTTATGACCACAGTGTACCATCTTCTGACCATGCCCGTGCCTGTACGACCACAGTGTACCATCTTCTGACCATATCCATCCCTTTATGACCAGTGTACCATCTTCTGACCATGCCCATCCCTTTATGACTACARTGTACCATTTTCTGATGGCTACTTCCAGCAGGATAWCGCACGACCAGACTCTCTGAGGAATATTTCCAGTACCTTGTTGAATCTATGCCAAGAAGGATTAAAGCAGTTCTGAAAGCAAAAGTGGGTCCAACCTGGTACTAACAATGTGTACCTTCTAAAGTGGCCKGTGAGTGTACATTAATCTCTAAACYTTACCTTCTGATACCATCTCTATTCAAGATGGCCATCACAGGTAATCAGTATCAGTCAACACAAAATGGCTCCAACTTTCTTAGTTTTACAGATACTGAGCTAAAAACATCACCTCAGATTGCACATTATTTCTAAAGTTTAACCAAAAAAGCTGCAACCCCATCATTTCTCAACATCAGATGATCTTAGTCTAAATCTTATTTTTCTATCCATTTATTAAAAAATCATAGAACAAAAACAGTTCCTCACCATTCTCCACAGTTCAGAACCTAGGAATGATAATAAAACCTCTCATGTACGCTGACGTGAGAGCAGGGTTAAATCAAAACTGCATGTCTGCACATCCTGTCAGTGACAGTTCAGTGATGAAACATGACATTTTCCAGCTGTAAGCTGAACACAGGTCCAGACATGACTCAGCCTTACTCAGCACTTTTGCACCACTCAGTCATTTGCTGCCAAGTCATATTTATCAAATGTCTTCACAGGACAACAAGGTGAAGTTTGCCCAGTACCTGGAGAAGGAGTACAGGGTGAAAATCAACATCTCCTCCATGTTTGACGTCCACGTTAAGAGAATCCACGAGTACAAGCGCCAGCTCCTCAACTGCCTGAACATTATCTCCATGTACAACCGTAGGTGTTTGATCACTGCGTGTGAAAATGGGTTTATAGGTAAAAATGTGTCAGACTCTCTAACTGGATCTGACCTGTTATGATGTGAAGCATGTCCACACCTCATGTTCAAACAGACATGAGGAATGCTGCCATCTGAAGCCGCTGTGGGGATTTTCAATCTCACTGGACGGTGACTGTTGTCACTAGTTGGTCACTCTAAAGTGTAAGAAAATGGCCAGTTTTTATATTTCTGCCCCACTGATTTCTGACTGTTTGTGACTGGTGAGTCGGATAACAGTCAGGTTTTATTTTTTAATTCATGGCCTGTTTTTAAACAGACAGCTTTTAAAACTGTATTCTTGGCTGCACACATTATTTTGTCGTTCCCTTTCATCAACATTGAACTCAGATTTTTTTTTTTTTGTGTGCTCACCTGGGCAACTTCCCCCATGATTATGATGTAATCTGCTGAAGTACATGTTAGAAATGACAACAGGCAGGCAAACCAGTTTAAAATATATATATATTATTTATCATCAGTTTGGGTTTTAGACCAGGCCAGGCCAACCAGTCGATCACGATTGACCTATCGATCTTTAACTGGTTAGCAGTAGCTCACGGAGCAATCGAACATGGAGCTTGTAGAATGCAACAAGCACAGGAACGCCTGTGTACTGTTTTAAGTTTCGTTTTGTCATTCTCCGTTTCTCAGCCACCTACCTCTGTGTTCAATGCATCGAAATGGCCGTCTAGGCCCTCCTCTTTTGATTGACTCCTCATTTGACTAACTGGAATCATCTATCGGCCCTCCAGAGCCAATAATCTGTGAAAAGTGACCAACTTCTGGTTTCCGTCTAGRTTGACAATAGAATTGGCCAATCAGCTCCAAGCTTTGTTCTGATGCCACAGCTGTAAAGCCAGTCACCTTACCTTTCATTTGGTAGTTTGAAGGGGTGGGAACTTTGGGAACCAATCACAGACCAAAGACGGAGATGGTCGTCATTCGTTGGCAGATAGCTCCACCCAGTGGACAAACAAAGCAACGCTCACAGGAAAACGTTGTTTTCCATCATTTTTTTGGCCAGTTAGCTGAATAAACATGCTGATAAAATTAAAATGCCTTTGTTATTAAGTATTTTGAGTACTTCAAGACTTAGAGTGATTTTTGTGGTAAGGAGAAGTACAAAATGTTCGGATAAAAACACTTCTGGTCGGCCGTTTTGAATTGCTAATTTCGTCATATTTGAGGACAAAAACGCATCAAAGGTAAGTGAAAAACAAATATTTTTTTCGCTGCTGGTGGTTTTATAAGCTGTGTGGAATGTTAATGCTTTGAAAAAAATAAGGATTGTTTATTGCTGTAAGTAAATATGGATGTAGAATGTGTTTTGTGGGGGGGTTTATCTTTAATTTGAGCCCAGAGTGAAGTCTCTGTGTTGAAGCATTTAGAAATGACCGTGTTTTAGACAAAGTGTAAATTAAATACAACTAGCAACACATTACGTTCTGTTTTATTTACTTTAAAGAAGTGAGGTGAAGAGAGATGAAAAATTATGTTACGATACTGAGACTGGACGAGTAGATCTTGGCAAACTGCCGACTTCAAACGTAGATCTTTGTTCACCACTGGTTTAGACTCAGKTTTTTTTCCAGTGGGAAGCTCTAGTCTCATATCAGACACTGACTTAAAATGAAATTGCTGCATTCTTTAACAGTCTTTGAGTTAAGACTTAAGACATAACRATTATTATACAAGTAAAACAAAATGCATAACATAACTTTGAAAATCCTTGTATTTTTTTTCAACAATTTAAAAGATGTAGAGTTCACTTTGTCAGATGAATCGTCCTTGTTTTTTAAATTTGAAAATTAGACAAATATATGAAATCTCATCAGAAATTTTCAATAAACAATTTATCATCATAACACAGTGCACATTCCAACCAAGCCATTAAAATTACATTCGTATTTACTCATGAGATGAAATAAAAAAAACTAGAAAACCTTTGTTCAGAAAAGAGAGCGTGAGCTGTGAGTGCTAAATGATTTTACTGATAGATGATAAAGAAGCTAAAACAGGTAAAACGAGCAGAATTGGAGCTGATATTAGCTGAACTAATGACCTGTTATTCCTATTCCAACAGTCTTGTCAAGTAGAACAGTGGTCTCTTACACCCCAGAGTATTCTAAATATAAAAAATCCAAGGTTTGTACTGATTAGTGTCTTTATTTTGTTCAAGGGATCAGGAAGAACCCGACTGCACCTTTTGTACCTCGCACAGTGATCATTGGTGGAAAGGTAAATGACCTTTTAATCTGAGAAACAGACCAAATCTGCAGAAACATTTCAGAGTTTGACTGATGACTGTACACTGTTGCCCTCTACAGGCTGCTCCAGGGTATCACATGGCTAAACTCATCATCAAGCTCATTACTTCAGTGGCTGATGTGGTGAATAATGACCCTGTGGTGGGAAACAAACTCAAAGTCATTTTCCTGGAAAACTACAGGGTTTCCCTGGCAGAGAAAGGTAGGATTTATTACGAGTACTGATGCATAAGATTAGAAGATTGTTATTCAGCCATTTTTCTTGTTTCCCAGGAACACCATTATTAACACCCCCGTCCAGATAGTCTTCTTTTCCTGAGTCCTCTAGTACAGGGGTTCTTAACCTTTTTGACCTCGGGGCCAAATTTGTTAAACATAAAATGGCACGAGGCCCAGTCAGACATTACCAATTACCATTACCAATGTATGAATCAAAATGATAATTATTCTAAATCTTGGTTTAATTTTTATTGTATTTACATT